CATTCACTCAACCAAATGTCTAATGATTAGACTCTAATCTAACATTGATAAAATAAGGTACGAATTATTAGGTACTATAGAGTAGTTTTAATGGATAAGCAAAGATTTGCTCTTGTAACTTATGACTAATTCCACACCAATTAATAATATATAAATAGATACAAAATCTTTAACTAATTCATTGAGATTTTTGTGTTCAACTAAACACTCAATAATGTTATTCTTGTGTTTAAGTGTTTTGTTAGGCGTCCGGTGTTTAAGTATCGGCGCCGAGACGGTGGACGTCAAGACAAGTTCCGGTACTGTTAGGGGACAGACTATAACTGAGCTTGGTAAAGAACTTAATCAATTTTACGGCATTCCGTTCGCTGAGCCACCGGTCGGTGCCCTGAGGTTTGCCAAACCAAAGCCTATTACAAAGCCTTCGCCCGTAAGTAATCCACTCAAACATAAACTCAAAGAAACTTTTGATTTATTTTGTATATAAATACAAAATATTTTTAGGATATCATCGATGCGACAAAGATGAAGACCACCTGTATATCCACGTGGAAGGGGCCCACCTCTGAGGACTGCCTATTCGTAAACATATGGGCGCCCCATAACACCACACAATTAAAAGCAGTTATGTTTTGGATATATGGCGGGGGTTTCAGTTGGGGCTCTATATTCGATGGGGGGTATGACGGGAAGTGGATTACTTCTAATGATGTCGTATATGTGGCCGTAGCGTATAGGTTGGGCTCATTGGGCTTCCTATACGGTGGCGATGATGAGGAGACCCCCGGAAATCTGGGACTTTTGGATCAACTCGAAGGACTTAAATGGGTTTGTATTGAAATCTTATTAGTTGTATATTTATAATAAAACACAATCATATTTGACTACATTTTGTAATTATTATATCAAAAATATCTCAAAATGCTATAATGCATCAAATTAATTTGAGCTACAGGTGCGAGAAAACATTCATCTGTTTGGTGGAGATAAGGATAAGATAACGATATTCGGTGAGAGCGCCGGTAGTATATCAGTATCGGCTCTGGTATTATCTCCACTGGCGAAAGGGCTGTTCGCGAGGGCTATACTAGAGTCTGGCGCTCAGC